GTTTGATCAGGTTCTGCTTGTTTCCTTTCTGTGGAAGCCCCAATTGCTTCAGCGTTTCCTTCAGCTGGATGATCGTAAACTTCTCGCCTTCCATCGTTCTTCCCTCGCACGCGAAAATGTCTCTCAACTTGCCGTAATGTTCACTTGCGTCACAACCGTCACCCGACCGTTGCACGTCTTAAGCTTTCACCCGTCACTCATTTTCTGAGCTTTAGGACAAGATGGATTATGTATCCCACTTCTGATAACTTTAAGGGTGACCGTGTATGTGGATAGGTAGGGTTTTCACAATGAAGCTGAAGGCGAGTAGGAAAAGGAACCAATGAACGCTATAATATCTAAGATTAATAAGTGATTGAATACATAAACTCTACAGGATAGCTCACTTCGCTTAACGTTTCAACTCTCTATATCCCCTCGGGCTCACGAGACTCTTTCCCGTCCACTGCCTAATGCAGACTGCCTGTTTCTCGCGGTCTCGCTCGTCGATTGTTCCGCACGATTCCTGGAATCGCGCGACCAGGCTCGCGTCCTCGCTTCTAGGAAGCGACACGTTTTGTTTCAGGCTTCCCTAAAACGTAGGAGTCAGCGCTCGCGGGTGCCTCTATTTCTCGCTACTACAATATTTGTAATATATTCTCAGGGAAAAATGTGAGAAAATATTTAAAAATCTAAAAAATTTCACATAATTTCTCATACAATCATTGTGAGAAATTGAGATTTCTTATTTCATGTTTTCATGTAAATATGTGAGAAAATATTAGAAAATCTGGATAATATTTCATAATTTCTTTTGCGATAGTCCTGAGTAATTATGAGAAATTATAAATCTTATTTCATGTTTTCGGCGAGAAATGTGACAAAATCAGAAAAATTTCTCATAATGTTTCATAGGATTGTTCAGAGAAATTATGCGATTTTTTATTTCTTGCTATTGAGAAAAAATGTGAGAAAATGTTAGGAACTCTGAAGAATTTCATATAATTTCTCAGGCGATTGTATTGTGTGTATAAAATTATGAGAAATTATTGAGTAATTATGAGAAATTGAGTTTTCTTATTTCATATTTCCAAGAAAAAATGTGACAAATCTGAAAATTTCTAATAATTTTTCATATAATCGTTCTGAGAAATTATAGAGTCCTTATTTCTTGTTGTTGGAAAAAAAATATGAGAAAATATTAGAAAATCTGAAGAATTTTACATAATTTCTCAAGTGATCGTACCGAAAAATTATGAATCTTCTTATCTCATGTTTTCGAGACAAAATCTGAAACATTTATCATAATTTCATCTAGGATTGTTCCGAAAAATTATAAGATTCTATATTTCTCGGAACGATCCTAGGAGAAATTAAGAGATTCCATATTTAATATTTTCGGGGAAAAATGTATGAAAATATTAGAAAATTTGAAACATTTTCATATTTTCGGGAAAAAAATGTGAAAATTTTCTCATAATTTCTCATAGGATCGTTCTGAAAAATTATGTGATTGTATATATCAAGTTTTCGGGAAAAAAATGTATAAAAATAGTAGAAAAATATCTGAAAAATATCTTATATTTTCTCATGGGATTGTTCTGAGAAATTACAAGATTTCATATTTTATGTTTTCGAAAAAAAATATGTGAAAATATTAGAAAATATGGAGAATTTCTCATAATGTCATATAATTATTTATAAATTGTTGATGTGAGAAATTATGAGAAATTGTAAGAAAAATTATGAGAAAAATTTTTACCAGGGCAAATTTACGTCTTTAAGAAATAAATTTTGTAGAATTTATTTTATCGTTCCCTCCGAATACTATCCTTAATTGTCAGACACCATTTTTAAAAAAACAAGTTGTTATTAATAGTAAATAATATTAAAATATATAAGAGTCTTTCTGCCTAATTAAAATTAAAATTTAATTGGAAATATTCACAAATTTTATTAAATTAATAAAAACACGAAAAAAATATTTTTTGTTTAAATTGTTTACTTTTGTAGTAATATTAAATTATAATATAAAAAAGTCATATTACTCAGTTGGTTACCTCATATGAAGACAATACGAAAGGCATTTGTGTCAATCAAAGAAGTATCTAAATGATAAGCTCACGATCTAGAGATACATCAAGTCCAAGTTTGAATCTCACCAGTGCTAAGTGTGAATTCTTAAATATGATATGTAACGATGCATATCGTTACGTCACGAAACAAGGAAACGCAGAACACCGCGAACCGAAAGCGCAAGAGGACAGCGCGTCCTCCAAAACGGTAAACAGCGCGACCGCCGAACAACAGCGGTAGATAGCGAATCAACCGAGATTCGAGGTATATAAACCGCCGCGTAATTGTAATCGAGAGATTCGATCATCCGCTCTCGAAAGAGAATCAGAACCGATCCACCGCTCTCGAAGGAGAATCCGATTCCGATTATCCGCTCTAAGAGAGACCGACTCCGCTCCTGGCAGATTA